GGGGCCTATTAGATGAGACTTATTAGAACTGGGGTCCATTATATGAGCCCTATTAGAACTGGGGCCTATTAGATGAGACCTATTAGAACTGGGGTCCATTATATATACCTATTAAAACTGGGACCCATTATATGAACCCTATTAGAACTGGGGCCCATTAGATGAGACCTTTTAGAACTGGGGCCCATTAGATGAGAACCTATTAGAACTGGGGCCTATTAGATGAGACCTATTAGAACTGGGGCCCATTAGATGAGGCCTATTAGAACTCAGGCCCATTGACTATAATATCCCAAAGATAACGTAGCGTTTTCATCTCCCTCTACAGCGAAGGTGCTTATTGAACAACCATTGTTCGTCAGACTACTCCTGCTGTCCCATGTCGTGTGGGAGTCTCAGAGTGTGCAAGAGAAGCATCCTCACCGACCTGCCCCCTACCACCCCGGCCCCCAACCTCACCCCCCCTCCTTCAACACATCCTAAGTTCCTGAATTCCTCCTCATCCTCCTCGAATGGTCTTAAGGATAAACCATCGATCGTAAGGAACCCCAAGGATGAATATGAAGACTTGAATTTGCAGGACTCCATGTTGGATTCCCACAAGTTAGAGCTGAAGTCAAAGTTTGTTAACATTGGACCAGCAACGCCAGAAGCCTCGTCCCCACAGTACCATCCTAAAGTAAGTCCGTCATTATTCTCAAATGATTACTTTTAACTGTTTCTTCACTTTGTCGATTTATATTTGATGGATAATATAGTCACGTTAGGTTAGGTTAATGAATGTCATGTTCAGTGTTAATGATCGCCACAGGTGAACGTGAGTGTCGTCTTCACCTCAGCATGCAGTTACTCCAAATGGTTCATCAACTACCAGGTCCATCCCACTATGGTGATCCTCAGGGACTACATCAACCTAGAGCTCCTGCCCTACGGCCTCGTACACCAGGTGAGATAATCTCTCTCTCTCTAAATCTGAAATTCGTGAAGATGTAGGTCAATAAGTGTGACTACTGGTCGGTGAGTATTAAAGCCACACTCGTGTTACAGAACGGGAGATGCCAGTTTGGTTACGGCGACTGTCTGGGTAACTGGCTTATATCCTGCGCTGGCCACCACCTGGGAGAGAACCAACTGGACAACTACAACCAGCTGAACTTCACCACCTGCCTCACCCAACACACACAACAACTACTAAAAGATGACTTGGCCAGCATCCGCCGCTAAGAAGGTACGAGGAATAGTAGTTGTTGTATACTTCACTTCATCTCTCTCGCCTCGCCCTCAACTATTGACTCAGCTCAGTCCACTTGAGGTGTTCTGAGTAACCCTTTAATAACCTCCCTGACATTTGGTGTGGCTCCATTTTTCAACGTCTACAAGTGGATGTGGCTCCAGAAAAATTATCCTGTATATCACCTCTGTTGTACCAGGCGACAGCATACACAACTTAGAAAGAGACAAAAACGTCTACAGAATTTCATCACTGGTACAAAAATTACATAAGATGTACATATTTAAATCTGAACTGTTACTCACACCTGGCCAGTTACAGGACTACTGGTGCAGCTACATAACAATTTAAAACTTGTTTGTCTCAGTCTGGCTAACAGGTAAAGCGTGTGTGCTCAAGGTAGCGGCTTGACGTCTCTCTTCATAGAAACATGTCTTACAGTGTCTGAGGGAGCAGCAGGAGGCGTGGCGTCGTGTGTCAGAGTGTGGTCGTTCAGGTGAGGGCATCCAGCTGTTCCAGGAGGCTGGCAGGAGGCAGCACCACTTAGTACCTACACTGAGGAACGTCCCCACCGTAGCCATTAACCAGGTGAGTCCCTACCTCTCCAGCTGTCTATATTAACCAGACCGGGACATCCAGACTCGATATCAACCACTTAGTTAATGTTCCCATAGGTGAATAACCCCTCGCTGTATATATAAATTAATCAGACAGGGTTCACCTTGGCCATTAACCAGGCAGTTATGTCTAATAAATCCCACTGCGGATATCCCTTATACTCTAGAGATTAAATTAACTTGACACAAAATCAGTGACCTGCATCTGTCTCTCTCAGGTCGTGGTACTGGAGAATAAAGATGACCTGAGCCAGTTTTCCTTACTGTGCCAACACCTGGACGACCTGCACCACGCCACCCAAGCCTACACCTTCTGTCAGCAGGTCATCTCTCTGTGAGGCGGACCACACCCTTTGACCCACTGCCTCTAACTCGATGAGGTTCTCCTAGTATCAACAATTACTACCACTGACATTTTACTCATGTGCATATTATTAAGGTTCTCAATTAATAAATGACTTACAGCAGCACCCGCATGTGTTATTTAACCCCATTATAGTATCTGAGTTCGTGTATAATCAAACCTACTATTGTTTCTCGGTTATCAGACAAAATGACTGAACCTGGAGAAATAATACAGGTAAAAGTAAACCCGAAAGGTTCACATCGGACAAAAATCCCGGAGAAAGTTTTACACTGGACAAAATCCCAAAAGAGTGTTTCATGTTGGACAAAATCCCACGAGAAAGTTTCGCGCTGAACAAAACTCCGAAAGAAAGATTTATAGTTACGGTCTCAAAGCATTAACTAGCGAGGCTAGTGGTAGTAACAGTAGCTAGTACAGTATTAGAGGGAGGCGGTAGTCGTAGTAGTGTTAATAGTAATGGGAGTAGTAGTAGTGTTGGTGGTAATAGTAGTAGTGTCTGTGCTGGTGGTGGTG